GCGAGCCAGAGAAACAAAATTTTACCGAATACTGATATTAAATTCAATTTGAATAATATGCAAAAATTAAAGTATTTCTAAGAGAACAAGAATTGCGTAAGGACAAATATTGGTTTCCATTTTTGAAAAGTACAAAAATGAAAGCATTTTTCAAGTTTCGAGTCACAGAGAATGGTGTAACTTAAGGTGTAACTTTTTTTGTTCTAATCTTATTTCAGATCTGTCTTTGCCGCCAAAAGTTATTTGCTTTATCTCTCCTCTATCACAATACATCGAGCGGAGATAGCGAATAACTTTTGACATTATCAACTTAACCTGAGTGTCAACAAAACACAACCTCAATACTGGAACCAGAGTCAATCAAAATACAGAAAATCTGTGAGACAATCATAGCACACCACCCAAGCATATCCCATTTATAAATAATTATGTATACTCAGTCAATGGACCCATCACTGCGTACAAGTCGTGCAAGGAGTCACACGTTGAAAGGTAAGACCTTGTTAATTCTCAGCTTGCACAGTTTAAGGCAGTACACAAGGTTGAGGAGGAACCCATTTAATCCCTCTTACACTGCCTGTCAAAACTACAACATTGCGGCTGAAAATGTCCACTGCAGTTGTGGTGAAACGTCGCTCGATACTATGTCCTTGGAGGGAGCTCCAAGCTCAGATACTCTTTCTCGTCTTCATACACTGACCCCAAGTTTACTATTTACACCCCAAGTTTACTGTTGAGACTGAAGTTTCAACTAACAATTAGTTATACTGATATGTTTTGTCAAACCTTAGATGGCGAATTTTTCGCCATCGATCTGAGCAACGTGATGCTGCTAGAACTTTGTAAAAGACCATAAGGAGTTGGCAAAAATCTCTAATACACTCTAAATCAGCTATAACTACCTGATTTTTAACTTTTTTGTGGTCTACTGTTGTTGAATACTCAACCCTCAATTAATAATACTGGTTTTCCTATAGTCTTTAGATCTCTCTATCCAAACAAAGAAACCGATGAAAACATAACAAACAGCTATGCAAACGTGAAAGACGCCATAAACGAAATACTGATCCCTGGGCTCTAGAGCGAAGCCCACTTTCTTAGTCACCACCACAGCTGTCAAAACAGACTGGAAAATCAGGGCCACGAAGGTGTTAACCCCGAAAACCAGGCCGTAACTTTCGTCTCGAATATATTTTGCCACCTCGCTGCTAGCAACGGTTATCATAAAATGGTACAGAGCTCCGAAAGCTATGTAACATATATAGCAATGCTTTACGTTGAGTGTCCTCGCCGCATACAGTAACACAAAACCCTGCAGCAAGGAGCAGATAGTTAGGGTGAGTTCACCTTTTACCCTCCAATCGGCTTTGAAGACACCTGCCAATAGAGCTCCCAAAAACCCGAAAACGGTCAGAACGGCTTCGACAGCTCCGTTGTATATCGGCGTCGAAGAATCGTTTACTATTACTTGCCACAATGGCTGTATGTAAGTTTGCACCTGGATGAAACCGCAAGTAGATAACGCGTACCACAGCGACCATTTAATTACGTAAGTGTTTGTGAAGGAGTTCTTGAAGTGATTGCCCATCAGGACGAAAGCGCT